AGACAGGTCGATGAACCAGAGGACTACCGTAGCAATACAGCCTACTTGATAAATCCCAAGAAGGGCGAAACCCCATCATGGGCTATCGACAAATTTTCAGCAACCCTATGAGTAGTGCATTACAGAGATACACCTACCTTTTCAATTGCAAATCACAAGAACGATGGCAATTGATTTAAATGTGTAAATTTTAGAATTTTGGTCATGTTATTCATGACCTGCAATGAGCATTCAAAAAGGAATTACCACTTTGTCATGTTTTAGATGTCGCGCATGTCTGTGAACAGTTCTCAAACTACAGTCGGTCTTCGCACTGGTAAAATTAATCATATACAGTCGCAGTTTTGTCGTCAACTTCATCTTCAAGAAGGCTGTTGGACGAATCGTCGTCTTTCCAACGTTTCTGTGTGTTACAGAGTCAATTCACCGACATGCTGATAGTTCCCTTTTTTGGTGTCGAGGTTTTTTACTATTTGGTATGGTTCAGTGGGCCCGAGTTAGTCCAGCGACTTAGACGCACTTACTGACCCGATGGTCCGTGGTTCGAACCCAAACCAGGGATGTTGACCGCTGCTGTCTAGGCTTGGGAAGTCCTCATGCCTTCTTCGGCTGGCATGACTGCCATTAATCGAAATGGGGTGCGACAACTGAACGATTATTTTTTTCGTTATCATTCTGTGGCACAGATGTGGATGGTCCTACCTGAGACAGAATTTTCTGCACCATTCTACTGATTCGGTGACCGGCTGGTTCGTTGTTATCAGATATTTGGAACTTTTCTTCCTGAAAGCAGGAGTAAGTTTGAATCCAAGAAGGACTGCATGGCTCTGATAGTCGTAAGTAATGGGACAGGACCCTGCATGTCAACGATATTCCTATGCGTCACCGTAGACCAGGTTACCAGGTTGCTATATTTTAATTCCCACAAAGACATTTATCGTTGTCTTCAGACAATTTTAAGAAATTAGGTTGTTTCTCAGTAGTGTCGGTTTCGTGATCGGATAGAGACCTACTTACTGATTGTCCCATTATCATGATGCAAATACGTAAACGACTGTTGATGAGAGGAAGACTATTGCTCAAGAACTGTCTAAAAGCAACCAGTTTTCCTGGAAAACTAAGAGGCGAGTGAAGGCTATCTTTCAGTTTTACTCTGACTGTATTGCTCAGCGGGGAATTTCGCCTAACCATAGCTTTCCCGGTAGAAGGCGCCATCCGAATTTTTAAACTTTTTTATATTTAATTTGGTGAAGTTATGTCTGTACAGTGATAGTGTTGGTGGTGTCAGATTCATGGATTGTGTGACGGAGATTTCGTCCTGTAAGAGAATTTGGTCTACCCCTAAAATCCGAAAAGGGCTGTAGAGCTCTTTTATCTTTATTGAGAACCATCCGAAATACGCGTCCCACGCAACTCCAGGGAGCTTCAAACACCTCCCACCAGTGACTGATGACCGAACATCTCGGCCCGAAACTCTTGATCACCAGCTTGGTTTACTCTCACGTAAGCCAGCTGTACCTCTATTCATCCTCCAATCCACCTCTCGTGGTCACATGTTGACTAGCCCTTAGAGTGACAATTTCCCCGATGGATGGTTCTCGCTATACGCCATCTAACTGACAGCTGGTGGAACTGATGCCGTAGCTGGACGGCTAATAGTTCAAACTACTTGGCAGGAGGTCGTGGTTTTGAAACTTCCCGCTGAAGTTTCATGAGATGCTCACTACCGACGATTCCCAGTAACGATGACACATCTGTACGGTGTTTCTCAGCTTTTCGGAATAAATTGTTCTCACTTGCACAGAGAGAAAGGGAGAGTGATCATAATTCTTTGACATCGATTGCCCGACGATTATTCGATCACATGCCCGAGCATCGTAGCAACGCCAATGGATAGAACGCCATTTAATAAAAAAAACAATAGGGGGCAACGTTGTCAAGACAACTAGATGATTTGAGTCAACAGCTTATGTACGGTCGACAACTGCTGCTTCCCCTTAGTCAATAGACAACATGGTCCTGGTTCAACAGCAAAGGATCACATCTGTTCCACTCTCTCTGAGAAAAAGCAGCGGCAGAAGTAGTTACTGAGGATGATATCCAATAGGAATAAAGTATACCTTTAGGGCTCTCCTTGACTTCACATGTATTGAGCTCTTAGAAGTCAAAATGTCCTCATTATAAATGAAAACTGTTCAGAATGAATGACATCCCGCACGAGCATTCCACCTCAGAAGTCATTACTTGAGGGACCAGCCAACACTTTACGGTGTGATGGATATCCCGCGACTGATGGATGAATATCTGAACAAAAGTTGGTCACACCGCTGATTGTCCAACAGTGGCCGAACTGTAATGTCCATCTGCTAACCGAAAAATCACGTGCTCATTCGCCATAATACTGATGAGTCTCAATAAGGCTTAAACAGCTATAAAAATTCCCCATATTTTTCAGCATGAATTGAATTTGCTTGCAAATCAAAGCCCAGATGAA